TCTGCACACAAAATGAATCAAAAAGAGAACAATTATATTGCAATGGTTCAAAGAATGAGTGGAATTGTTCAACAAGTCTTGTCCAAAAAGAAGTGTAATTGAGACTTAACAACTCCCCCAAACTTAGAACCTTGCTTGCCCTCAAGCAACAGGTAATTAATCAAGTAGATAACAAGCAATGCATGTGTGTCAAATTCTACATCCTAGTTCACTTGTATTTTCTTTTCGCAAGCATGAGCCTTAGATGGACTTTCAGTCACAATTATTGCAATAGAACATGACAAGGTGCAAACAAAGGTTTCAAAAGAGATCAAAGAGCTGAGAAGAGTTAATGACTATCTATGAATGCATTCTCACTAGGGAAGTGTTTCTCTCTATGCACACTAGTGTATCAGGGTAAGTGTTTCTCTCTAGTATACTACTCACGCCACATGATTCAACTTTGCTCTTCGTTTCCAAATGAAACCAATGGTCAAACAAATGCAAGCACTTATCACAAGGTCTTTATTAGGGCAATATGGGTTAAGAAGTAACAATCTTATGGTTTTTCAACGATTTAAGTTGCCATGGCTTAAGAGAGCAATTAAGGTTTCTACAATGATATCCCTCTCCATACCCCAATACAACATTTCAGTATATGCCCTTAACCGGATTCAAGCCATTAGCCTTTAAGTGATGCATATTTACACTTTTGCATCTTAATATTTTTGCTTTTGTTTTGTTTCTTTTTTTTAATTTTTTTATTTTGAATGGCTGACCACATAATTTCTTCTTCCCAAAATTCCCCATTCCTCAACTCCCCCAAACTCGTTTAATGTCATCAATTTGCTCTCTTAACCACAACAGATGTTATGGTTAATTTTTCACGGGTTCGGGATAAGTGGAAGGTGTGGTGTTTAGGCTTAGGAAGCTATGGGTCAAGTGAAAAGTGGAGATGACTTTTTGGCTTAAATGGTTAACAAAATAAGGAAATATGAATTCCTTGATCATATAAGTGCACAACATAAGAAAACTACCAGGGAAACTCAAGCAAAGTCTATCATGCAACTTAAACATAGTTCACTCATCAGTATTTAGGCTCAAACCTCACCTGACTATGCATCCACAAATTATCAAACTCAGCTCAGTTCTATGATCAACATTGAAACCTGTATGTAACTAGTCATGAACTAAAGATCTAACGTGACTTGAAAATGTCTAAGGTACACGCACCACAAACATCAAGCAAACCACAATCCAGAATCAACCACAAGCAAAGCAAGTATCAACAAGATTAAAAACTGTGCTAAAGCAGAATATTCACAAAAGGAAACCAACAGAGTAATCACCAAAAAGACACTAAATATAACAGAGTTTTAAACATAAACAACTACATTAAAGCTAAATCACGAAAAATAAAAGACATAAAAATAAAATGTGATAAACATAAAAGGTAAACTAAGATAAACTCCATCTGCATTTGTCTATGTAGTCTGGTCATCATCATCTCCAGGGGCTGCTCCACCATCATCAGCAGCTCCACTACTTCCCCAAACTTAGGGGCCTGGTCCCCAGGCCAACCAGTATATGTATGAAAGTCCTAGTAGCCGGGAGTGGTCACGGAGTGTAATTATGAAAAAAATATGGTGAGCACAAAAAATACACACAATGATGACCAAGCAAATATAGCAAAATGGAGAATATCCTTAGACCAAAATTAAGCATAACATGGATGCACACGGAAATGAACTGTGACAATGCAACATAAAGCACACAAACAGAACATGAAGAAACATGATTGAAAGCAGATAAATATTGGTTGTCAGGGATGGTGTGCGCCGGGTGCAAAACAGATGCGCCGGGCTTAGTATCAGTAAACGTCCAAGAGGTTCCAAATCTGATATCGCGCCAGGCGTGACTTAAGCGCGCCCGACGTGGTGGTTCCAGAGACCAAAAATTGATCACTAGGCTGGGCGCAAAAGAGATACACCCGGCGTGTAGCCACTTACATGGTCAATTTGCCTAAGTTTTCTTTAAGATAAAGCCTTATCTCCACCTCAGAAACAGAGTTACCTCATTCCTCACACTCCAAACGAGATGTACCCTATATTTACCCTCTCAAGCATGATTCTAACAATTAACATATAACACAAAACAACATATAACACAAAATAACTATGCATAACAAACATTAGTATTGAAATCTATAACACGAATGAGATGAGAAACACATAAACAAAGTTCAGATCTCTGGGTTACCTCCCAGGAAGCGCTTGTTTACTGTCCCGAGCCTGACTGTGACCAACTTGAATTGCTCTAATTCTCCTTTTCCTCCTGTTGCTATTGTTCCTCCTTGCCTTGTGTTCAACCTCATGATTGCTCAACAACGGCTCAGAAGGATTAGTCAATCTAGTTCGAATAGTACCTTGTATACAAGAGAAAGTGGGAGACTAGAGTACACAGGTTAGCTCCAAGAATCCATTGCTAAAATAAAAATTAACAATAAAAGTAAAGGAACAAGTCACAAATAGCTATAAATACTAAATTGCCTTGCTAATCCCCGGCAACGACACCAAAAACTTGTTGAGATTTCCGTTGAAATACTTTTGTTGTAATTGTAAATCAGTTTAATTCTATCAACGGTCTCAAACACGGCAAGTATATCGGTCGTTCAAGTAGTAAAATTATCGTATCCACAGGGATTAGAAGGTAACATAAGCATTTATTGACTATTCGTGACTAAAGAATAATTCCAAATTCATAGTTTGTCATGCAAGTTGAATCAAAAGTTATGACTATTGGAATGTAAGCTATAAAAATATTTGATTGTGAGTGGAAAATGGTAGAAATGGTATTATGATTTTTGTGAGATTGTGAGGTCAGATTTCACCAAACGTTACACTAATGAATCCTTAATCTCTTGTTACAAATATTGCTTAGTCAACCCATAAGTTTACTCAAACCTAATCTCTTAGAGCAAGAGCCTAGGTGCGGATATTGAATATCAATTCCTTGAGTATCCAATACCTACACCCGCATTACGGGCTAGGGTTTAAGACTACTAATGGGCTAAGCTCCATTCCTAGATACATTTCCCACTAGGCATTTGTTTCAGAGCTAGTTTCAATGGTTATTTTCGAACACCCAATGGAACCTATATCATGCAATATATATATATATATATATATATATATATTTGAAAACGTAAAGATTACAATCTAACCCCACAAAACAATGGGTAGAACCACTCAAAACAATGAGGGTAAATACAAAATAGAGATGAAGAGAGAATGAAGAACCGAAGGAAAGACCCACACACGAACGGATCCAAGCTCTGGGAATCCCTTCCACAGCTCCTAAAACGCGCCCAATGTGTGAATGAGGAAGAAGCCCTCGAAAATGTCTTCAAATACGAGCTTGGGGAGTCAGATTAGGGTTTCGTGCCCGACACATAAGTCTTTGCGCTCGGCGCAGGGCCTTCCAGAGAAGTTGAGCACTATCTGCCTCAGGACACCCCCGGCGCAATTTTCTTTTACGCCCGGTGCAATGTCTTCCAGAGAGTTTGAATCACTCTCTGCCTCGATCACGCCCGGTGCGGGTAGTCTTGCGCCCGACGCATATATAACTTGCAGAGATAAGGCACTCTGTTCTGCTCAAGCCCGGCGCGGGTCATCTTGCGCCCGACGCAGTCACTCTTCTCTGCTCCTTAGTTCTTTAGGTTTCCAATCCTATGGGTCTTCAATCCTCAATTCTCTAGCTCAATACTTGCACAAAAATGAGGTGTATTAGGGTATTGTTAGCTAAATTATGGGTTAGCTATATCTGCACACAAAATGAATCAAAAAGAGAACAATTATATTGCAATGGTTCAAATAATGAGTGGAATTGTTCAACAAGTCTTGTCCAAAAAGAAGTGTAATTGAGACTTAACACTCATCTATTTTGGTAAGTAATTTTAATTCTTTCAGTTTTACATTACTATCTTCCCCCTCTTTCAATTTTTTCACTATTATCTGCTCTCTCTCCTCTTTTAATTTTCACATACATCCATGACATAGAACTAGTTTTTGATAACATTACAAGTGCATGTGACATTCTTGACATTGTCGAATATGTCAAGTCAAATGTGCATTTTTTCCTTTAAGCACTTTCCCTATTTACACGTTTAAAAAACACAACATCAAATAATTTTAATGTTCTAAAAATTATTTTTCAAAATAGTAAAATTAGTGTTAGTAAAAACACTTTTCAAAATTGGATTATACTTTCGAAAAATACTTTTCGGAACAATAAATTTAGTATTCCAGGAAATACTTTTCAAAAGTGTGTTATTTTACATAATTTTGGAAATTTTTTTTTCTAGAATAGTAAATTTAACATTCTGGAAAGTACTTTTCAGAAAGTATGTTATTTTACATACTTTCAAAAAATACTTTTTGAAACATTAAATTTACTATTCCAAAAAATACTTTTTAAAATTATGTAAAAACAAACTCAATGTAATGTTTTCTAGAACCACTTATAGAAAAGACTCTAGAATAGTAAAATTAGTATTCTAAAATTTCTTTTTCATAATATTAAATTTAATGTTAAGGTTTTGTGGAGAAGTTAAAGGAGAGGAAGTGTTGAAAGAAAAAATGTGTTGTTTGACAGAAACTGTTGAGGAAGCCGCCCATAATGCTATCGCATTCTAGTTTTACGATCCGGATACATGTGAAAAAGTGAAAGATGTAAGAGATAAAGAGAATAATGTAAAAATCGAGAAAACTAAAATTACTTATTGAAATAGGTAGAAAATTGAAAAAAGACAAGATATATGTGAAAATTGAGAGAAAAAAAAGGCACGTGAAAAAGAAAAAGAAAACAATAAATCAAAAATTAGAAATGTAAAATTAAAAAATTAATGAGTAAAAAAAATATGGATATTTTAGATTTAAAAAAATAAAATAAAAGAGGGTTACTTATATAAAAAAAAAAAGAAGAAGAAAAAAAGAAGGAAGTGTACAATATATATGATGAGCCATCCTGTTTCCATAGTTTCGTATTCCTCAACGGATTCAGAAAAATTACAGAATCTAGATATGTGCTTGTAACAAGGAATTACGCACTCCATGGTCGAAATGAATGCTGCATTTTTCTCTGTGAAATCAAATGTCTTTCTATTACATTAGGAAGACCTCAAGATTCCTCTCTTTCAACCTCTTCCATGTTTCACCGTCACGTCCACCCTCGTACCACTCATTTGCCACACAACACTATCCTTTTTCTTCTCAACTCCACGATCAAGTCGATTCATTTCCTTCATCACCGTCCAATCACTACTACTACGCTTCACTACTTGACTATTGTATCTCTGCCAAAGCGTTAAGGCCTGGGAAACAGCTCCACGCTCGATTGTGCCAACTGGGTATTGCCTACAATCAACACTTGGCCACCAAACTCGTCAACTTTTACAGCGTTTGCAACTCTCTGCGGAATGCCCACCAACTGTTCGACAAAATTCCCAAAGGGAATTTGTTTTTGTGGAACGTCTTGATTCGGGCTTATGCTTGGAATGGGCCCCACGAGTCTGCCGTTTTGCTCTACCACCAGATGCTTGAGTATGGGCTCAAGCCCGATAACTTCACTCTCCCATTTGTTCTTAAAGCATGCTCGGCACTCTCCACAATTGGAGAGGGAAGGGTCATTCACGAGCGTGTGATACGAACTGGGTGGGAGAGGGATGTGTTTGTAGGTGCAGCTCTCGTTGACATGTATGCCAAGTGTGGTTCTGTGGTGGATGCCCGCCACGTGTTTGATAAAATTGCTGTGAGAGATGCTGTGTTGTGGAACTCCATGCTGGCTGCTTATGCTCAAAATGGACACCCTGATGAATCGCTTTCCCTATGCCGCGAGATGGCGGCATTGGGTGTGAGACCCACTGAGGCAACTCTAGTCACTGTTATTTCATCTTCGGCTGACATTGCCTGTCTTCCTCATGGGAGGGAGATTCATGGATTTGGTTGGAGACATGGATTTCAATCCAATGACAAGGTCAAAACCGCTTTAATAGACATGTATGCAAAATGTGGTTCTGTGAAAGTTGCCTTTGTTTTGTTTGAGCGGCTCAGGGAGAAAAGGGTTGTATCATGGAATGCAATTATTACCGGCTATGCAATGCATGGTCTTGCTGTTGAAGCTTTGGACTTGTTTGAGAGAATGAGGAGAGAGGCTCAGCCGGATCATATTACCTTTGTTGGTGTTCTTGCAGCTTGCAGTAGAGGGCGTTTGCTCGATGAAGGACGAGCATTGTATAGCCTCATGATGAGGGATTACTGTATCAATCCCACCGTTCAACATGACACATGCATGGTTGATCTCCTTGGTCACTGTGGCCAACTGGATGAGGCATATGATCTTATAAGGCAAATGAATGTAATGCCGGATTCTGGAGTATGGGGTGCTTTGCTGAATTCATGCTAAACCCATGGGAACGTGAAGCTGGCAGAGCTGGCTTTAGAGAAACTAATTGAACTTGAACCCGATGATTCTGGCAATTATGTGATTTTGGCCAACATGTATGCTCAATCAGGTAAGTGGGAAGGAGTTGCAAGATTGAGGCAGTTAATGATAGATAAAGGAATAAAGAAAAACATTGCTTGTAGCTGGATTGAAGTGAAGAACAAGGTCTATGCATTTCTTTCTGGAGATGTTTCACACCCAAACTCTGGTGCAATATATGCAGAGTTGAAAAGGTTAGAAGGACTAATGCGTGAAGCCGGGTATGCCCCTGATACAGGGTCTGTCTTCCATGATGTGGAGGAAGATGAGAAGACAGACATGGTGTGCAGTCACAGTGAAAGACTAGCTATTGCATTTGGACTCATTAGTACATTGCCAGGAACCAGACTTTTGATAACAAAGAATCTCCGAATTTGTGAGGATTGTCATGTTGCTATCAAATTCATCTCGAAAATCACCGAGAGGGAGATTACTGTGAGAGACGTCAATCGCTATCATCATTTTAAACACGGAGTATGTTCATGCGGTGATTATTGGTGAAGAAGCCGCAATTTAGTTGGGATAAGTGGCTTGCAGAAACACCACAGTCTCCTGGCATCGGAGTTCTGTAAATCTGCACTTTAGTTTCATAGATCATAAGCAAGTAATTTTAGTTTTGGTTTACAAAACTTTCTTAACTCTACAAAATGACATTCACCGCAATTTTCAAACAAATGTGAATGACATTTTATAAAATAAAAATCAAATTGATGATTTTGTAAATTTAGGGACTAATGTAATCGGTATTTGTAATTTTAGAGTTGAGAATTTACTCCATGCTAATAGTAGAGCTTCAGTTTTGAAATTTAAATACACAATGTTTTTCTTTCCGGAGAACGAAGCCTTAACTTACAAGTACTGTCTAACATCGATGATCCTTGCGTTTTTCTTACAAATGTTACTCTTCAGCAAGTATTTTTAAAGATCATATTATATTCATTAGGTTTCACTAATGATCCGTCAAAGACTTAACTTTGGCCCAGAGAATCGTAGTTCAAGTTGCAATAGTCTGTTCAGAAGCTATTTGTTTCGGCTTGTGGTTTCTAGTACCTTAATCTATTTTCAGGTCTCTCCATCTCTTATACTAAAAGATGCGTAAATAACACTTACACCCCATTTCAGGTTTTGAGATATAGCGTGAGTTCGATTCTTAAATGTTAATTCACTGCTCTATAGTCATTTAAGACTTAAGCAAAATAAATGTGCTTGTGCGTTTCACCATACTTCCTACCCTCAACGAGACTTGACATGAGTTATTTCAATAGTTGAAAGTGAATAAACTACGAAATGATGTCAGTGTACAAACATTAAATATTAGACAAAATACATAAAGGACATTTAAATAAAATCGAAAAAAAATAGTACGTTACTTTAGAGAAAGAATAAAAATTAAAATATTCATGATTATGTGTTTCTTGCTTGTATTTATCCCTGTATTAAAAATGAATAAAAAAATATTAACAATAGACTGTTTTAGAAAATATGATGAAATGAAAAACAATAATATATACACATGGAAATAAAACACATGAAAAATAAAACAACTATTTAAGGTTCATATATCTATAATTCCTAAAAAACACAGTGATAATATTTACATATATGCAACAAAATTTTTCAACGATAAATTAAAATACTGTCCAAGCATATATGTATATATAATAATTTAAATTATAAGTTTATATTGTTCGTCAAATAATTCTACCAATATCTATACAAAAGTATTTTTGAACTATACTACCATCCCACATTATGGTTCTTCACCGCCTGACTCCTCAAATTTATTCTTATCTCATTAAAGTGTATAATTATACATATATCACCTTATAGTCTATATCATAGCAACATAAAAATATGAAAAATGTACATCATATTTAAAAAAAATTCTATAATTATTAAAGATATTTTTATAAAATTATGTATCAATTTATTTTATAAAATCTTGTAAATTGATTGTCATATATTCATATTATATAAAATAAAAATTCTTTAAAACTTAATTAGTTAATCAGAATATACGTTTATTACGATGATCTCAATTACTGTAATTAAATATAATAATATATTTTTATGAATTAAAAAATAAAAAATATATCGACGAAATTTAGGTAAAAAATATATATAATTGCATATGAAAAAGCTTTATTTATTCACATAATATATAATAAATAGATACAAGACAATAAATTTAAAAATATTGTTGTTCCTACCGTAAGTCCGCTGTCATCGTTAGGGTTAATGCATTCGAGATATTGTCCGCTTTGACGCTCGTTGGGCTGTCACGGTTTTATCTTTGAAAAGGCATCTCGGTGGATTAAGGAGAAAAGATGTTTATAAACTACCCTTAGCTTCGACTCCTAAGCGATGTGAGACTTTTTAGGCATACCGGAACAATTGTAATTTTAATCAATCTTAATATCAATATGATTTATAAAATTCGAGTTTTCATACATTATACATTATATTAATAAAATGATGTATTTTGATTTAAAGATATATATATATATATATATAATCAAGGTGGCCTTCACAAATTTCTTTATACAAGATTGAACCCTCGCGAGTTAGCATGTGTTTGTTAGAGCGAACCGAACAGCAATGGAACATCTCTCTTCTTTTTACACTTTTACCTTGAAAAGTGGAAAACTTTAACGACACCCTTACAAAACAAATTACGCTGCTCAGCAAAATAATTTGAACAGGAAAAAAGAAAAAGAAAAAGAAGTAGACATAAAACGACGTCGTTGCATTCGTCCCCAACCAGAACCAGCGTGAGGAAAGGGAACCATTAGAATCGCGTTGGAGGAGGATCCCTCATCCCACGCACGCATACTATTAGTTTTGCAGAGCTCATCAAATCGAACCTCCATTCCCGCAACACGCCACTTTCGATTTCACGTTTCTTTCACCAACAACTCTCGTCGCTTTTCGATTATTCATTTATATTCTAGGTGAAACTTCTTAATAATTTCAACTATGAACTCCAACACTTGGAAAGCCACGTCAATGATTTGATTCCTGGATCCAACGCATCCATTAAGGTTTGCGTCGCGTCTTTCACTATTGATCTCATCGTTTTGCCAACTCAATCCCTCTGCATTCATCAACAACCTTTACTATTATCCGATTCCAGATTTACTTCGCATTTCCTTTTATATATCCGTTCGGCGCGATGAATGGTTTATTTTTAGATGCATAACAGTTTGTCGGTGTGGTATAATGCTTGGGTTAAATTCGACCTTCTTTTTCTTTTTCAATAGAGGCTTATCTCTTGTTGCATTGTTGGGATCTGAAATTCGAATAGAGTAGGAATTTTGGTGGCGTTTTGAATTGGTAATGTGCATCACGGTTCCACTTTGTTTTGGTTTGTAGCTTTCGAGATGGCGTGGTTTAGTGGAAAAAATACGTGGGGGAACTTCCCTGATTTGGCGGGAGCCGTGAATAAGCTTCAGGAGAGTGTGAAGAATATTGAGAAGAACTTTGATTCCGCTCTTGGATTCGAAGAGAAGGGTGAATCCAGCAGCAATGAAGGTAATTAATCCCAGTTCTTATCGTTCTCTTTGTTTTCTGAATGGATTTTTCTGCGGAATGTGAGTTTTGTGATTGAGGTAGGTGCAAAGTTCGTTAACAGCTGTGAAATATGAGTTTTGGATTGTTGGATGGGATGTGTGTTCTCTATGTGGGAAGTTTTCAGTTTTGATACTGATTGGAGCTATGTCCTTTGTTTTTGTATTCCAGATGCAGGATCATGGCCTACACCTGCTGAGAGGAAAACCCTATTTAATCCTGTCATGGCCTTTATGGGGAACAAAAATGAGGAAACTACAGAAGAAATGTCTGAAAAAGATGAGTCCTCTCAACATGACTCTGAAAGTGAGAAGTTGGCAGAAAAGTCTGAGTCTCTGGATCATGCACCTGTGGCTGAGGGAAACAAAGCCCTTGAAACTGATAATGAAGTCCATATGGAAGCTGAACAAACCACTGCGCAGGATGAAAATAAAGTGCTTAAGGAAGAGGAAGATGGTGAGCATACAGTGTCAGCAGATGGAACAATTGCACAGAATTTGGATCATGGAAAGGAGGAACACCACTTACTGGAGATGCCTGTTGAATTGCCTGAATCCCCTGTTGAGAAGATTGAGAGTTCAGATTCTGTAGACCATCCACAAGAGAAAGAGATAGCCGAAGAGGGAGTCTCTGGAAGTCCAGTGTCGATGGACCTCTTGCCTTCTAATCTTTCGGAAAATTTAGTTGAGGGTGTTACTAGCGAGTCTGGTGAGTCACATGGTATTAGTGATGGGCATGAAAATTCTCAAGTCGAGACAGAAGGGGAGAGTAAAAAAGAAGAGAGGATGCAAGCAGAAGGAAGTGTAAAGAGTATTTCTTCTGTTCAACCTGAGGCATCAGATGACACTGAGAAAAGAGATGATGTCAACACTTATATTCTGCATTCTGTGGCATCTGAGGAAACCAATAACATTGATCAATCATATAATGAACACTTGTCCAGTGCTACTCCACCAAATGAATCTTCTATGGTGGTAACTGAAGTGTTTTCACCTGAAGATGAAACAACCGTAAAAGGAAATGAAACAGACCACGTTGCCAATGATGTTGTAACTGACATAAGAGAGCATCATTTGAGTTCTGAAAGAACAATGTCTGACCCAGGTTCCTTGCTTGAACTAGAGAGGCTGAAAAGGGAGATGAAAATGATGGAAGCTGCACTACAAGGTGCTGCAAGGCAAGCTCAGGTATTTTGTTTAACGCTTGTCATCATTGCCGAAACAAAAGCTGTATTCATGTTTTCTTTTGGTTGCAAGTGGAAATACCATGTAGTGCTCAGATCTTGTTATATTTTGTGAATGAAAATTATGCTCACATGGTGTCTAGGTAGCCTTTTTCTTGGTCTGTTGTACCTTTTGTCTTTGTCAGGACCTCAGGGTTTTAGGTGTCATTTTTAATTTTTTTTTCCTGGACAACATATTTTGTCAAGCCTCTCTTGCGTCAAACAAAGATCATGAAGATTATTAGGTGGTGTAAAAATGATTAAGTTTCTAGTTCACTTTGTCATAAGTTTTCTGGGTGCATTATGGACTGATTGAAAAGTGTACATGCCAATTTGTGTCTTTTTAGTATCAGGAACAAAAGCATTTATGATATATATTCATTTTTATTTAAATGCCATATTTTTAGAGTGAAAACTATGATAAATGACAACGTGGTCTCTGGATACTTTGTCTGGTTAAGAAGTTTTTTTTGGCCCATTGTCCTTTTTTTCTTGTTTAAGGCCTGAGTAATTGTGGTACAATATTTCTTCCCCTGGAACAAGATATTTTGCCAGGCTTCTGGTGCATCAAAGATAATGAGGATTGTTATATAGTGTAAAAATAGCTTCTAATTTACTCTTTTATAAATATGCTTTTTTGCTCCATTTTGCTCCTTTTCGTCATCTATGATCAGCTACGATCTTCTAACTTTCATTAATGTCTAAAGGTCATTTTATTTGGCTGTTTTTTTGTTTATTAATGTCTCAATATATTCAAGAAGTTGCATATTTGTCCGAATTATGGTCCCCTTCTATATGCCTTTTTCTGTAGCTATTATAATGTTGCATATCTATTACAATTTTGTAATCTTAATTCTCTTTGCAGGCTAAAGCTGATGAGATTGCAAAAATGATGAATGAAAATGAACAATTGAAAGCGGTGATTGAGGATTTCAAGGTATATTTATTTTTTCAAAATCTAGTAGCTTGTAATGTTTTGATTTAATACAGCTTTTTATTGTTACCTAGGGGAACCTTTTCAGTCTCTGTGATGTCATCTATGCATTCACATAACATTTAAATTGATGATTTTTGCATATGTAGCATTGGAAGCTAACCATGGATCCTATTTGCCTTGTCCAAGACATGATCTGGCATTATGGAAACAAGTGGATCATCTAACTAAGTACTAACATGGAATATTAACTAATATCATGAAAAACTAAAAGTTTGAGGATTTTTTTTTGTCAATGACAAAATCCAGTTTTTCTTCTTGATTCAGCTCCTGTGAGTTCTAGGTGGATAAAATATTGATTGATGATTTTTTTTACATGTATTGTTTATATGTTTTTCTTTTGACATTCTCATATTTTCTAATATGTTTTAATCTTCTGGATTTCCCCCCTTGTGTGCTATGTATGATGTATTAGTTTTCTTTTGTAATTTGTACATCTTTCTATGAAAATCCTTTGCTATTTTTGTAAGCTAATTAGCATGTGTTACTGTTTCCTACCTCTATTTCTCATTTGATTGTGTGTTGCTCATTCCTGGGTCCCATTGTCTTTGAAATATTTAAATTTCATTGCTGATAATTGTGGAACAGAGAAAATCCAATGAGGCAGAAGTTGAGTCTTTGCGAGAGGAATACCATCAGAGGGTAGCAACTCTCGAGAGAAAGGTATCACTTATAGTAAATCTTATTGTTTTTTGTGTTTAATTGTCAGTAACTTAACTCAGATGCATAATTCAAAAGTGGTGTTTAGTCTACTATACATTGAAGCTCTGGTTATCTTTTTCACCATAGAAACTAACCTAGTATGACACAAATGACAGAAGCACTATTAAGACTCACATTTTCCCTTTCATGCTTAGTTTTCATTTTAGATGTTCTCAAGATTCTTGTCATATACTAGCATAGCTGACAGTGACACAGATACAGATGCCATATAGGCCACATGTTGTGTCTTTCTATTGAGCGATGAAGATCAAATTTCTCTTAATACTAAAAGGGATCAGTTGTATGCTTTATTGTGAGGCGATGCATGAGTTATGATTTGATATTGCTGTTGCATTTTTGGGGGATGTCAATCAAATTCTTGCAATATTAGTGCATCTGATAAACATGAAGTTCCCATGAAAACAAAGTGAATGTATTATAATTTCAATATTAGAACACAAGTATCTAATGAATTGGAGATTGGTGTTATAAATTCATCTTGAATTTTGAAGAATGTGATTTATCAAAGAGGATTATTAGGCATTATGTATATGTTAAAGTGTATGCTACCTAGTTTGAGCTACAACTGTTCTGGGATTTTATGCGTTTTGGGTGTTTAATTGCAGGTTTATGCTCTCACTAAGGAAAGGGATACTCTTCGCCGAGAGCAGAGTAAAAAAAGTGATGCAGCTGCTCTCTTGAAAGAAAAGGATGAAATAATTACTCAAGTTATGGCAGAAGGTAGTGCAGTCTGATATCAAACCTAAATTTGTATCATCCAAGCTTTGGTGGATATAGAATCATTTTTTTGTCATGGATGTCTCTTTTGGGTTATATGGATGGTAGTTTTAGATATATGTCAGCATAGTCTAAAGGGACAAAAACCATAGTGCTAAATTATGCAGTTGGATACTTCTTTGGATTTCTTTAAGATGAATATTCATAGTTATTAGAGTAATAAATGCTTTGTCAAAACCTTTACTCAGATTATACTCTTGCGTGTTAATATATCAAATTTCTTCATTTATGTTGAAAATTCTAATCAGTCACTTTAATTTGCCCCAGGAAAGATTTCCTTTGAGGTTCCCTTGATGGAATTGCACTTGGTTTGGTGGTGGGATTTGATAGGGTGGGGGTTCTATTCGATGTCATGAGTTTGTTAGTCCAAACATGTACATGTTCATTGACAATTCTTATAAAATCTGTTATCTAGAGCATGTTTGATACTTTGATTACGTGGCTCCTTTTTTTTTTGCCACATTCAGCATGTTGAAGATGCTTTCATTAATGCTTAGTTTGGTGTAAACTTGCCATTCATAGCACAAAGAAATCTAGGCATCCTTGGGCCACTATCATAGAATGTTTAGCTAAGTTGTAACTAGATGCATCTTGCATACCTTCCAGTTTTTACGAGGAAGGTGAAAGTATGTAATAATGAAATCTAGGCTTCGACTTTTACATGTTCACAATTGGAAATGGAAAGTGAGATCTTGTCAGCTGGCTTGGGATCTAAGATTATAGAAAAAAAAAATATTTTGATTGAATATTGTTTCAAATTTGTGTTGAGGTTTTATTATTTCCCCTAAAATGGACATATGAGATTTTATGCAACCTTGTATACCTTTATTGTTTGGCTTGGTGGGAAGGTTTGGACAATGTCTAGAGGAGAGCAAGATGGTTAAATTGAGGAAAACTGATTTTACAAAATAAATTTTGTATGTGAACAAGTACTGTTCGTTGAAGCATGATAGTGGTTTAATTAATAATTTCATCTTAAGGGCTTTTCTGTTGTCATTAAAGAGTTATTCATTGAAGCATGGTAGTGGTTTAATTAGTGGAAATTATAGAGGCTCTTTCTTCATATTAAACTGTCTCTCATCTCAGGTGAAGAGCTTTCCAAAAAGCAGGCTGCTCAAGAATCCACAATTAGGAAACTAAGGGCTCAGGTATGCAGACTACTTATTGTATTTTCCCACAATATTTAACCTTTTTCTATACCTACATATTGTAATAAATCTCTTAATTACCTTTTTTTATGAAAGCTAGATTAGAGATCTTGAGGAGGAGAAGAAAGGTTTGACTACTAAACTTCAGGTAATGGAAATATTCTGAAAGCATTATCTGAATTTTTTATTTGCTGGTAATTTTTTTGAATAATTATATTCACTCATCATGGAATCTGGGAAGCAGAAAATTCAGGTGGTGCTATACATTGTATTTTACTGTTTTACCTTGATCTTAACTGTTTGGATTCACTTGTTCAGGCTGTTTATCCTTTTGCAAAAAAAATTCTTTATAATATAGTTTGCTTGTAGAAATACCATCATACTGTATGAAATTTAAATTTCATATTATTTTTAAGGGTAAGTTACGATTTATTGTTGGTGCTTCTGTGGAGTTGGGACAATCCTCTCCTCTGTATCATTGAAAGTGTCATTCTTTTTGGAATAGCATGGGTCGACAATCCTCATTTATTATTACTTTTAATTGACGCTGCTGTTTGGTTAATGTCATGCAATCCAGGTAGAGGAGAATAAAGTAGAAAGTATCAAGAGGGACAAAACAGCTACAGAGAAGTTATTGCAAGAAACAATAGAAAAGCATCAAAATGAAATTGCAGCACAGAAAGAATATTATACAAATGCTTTGGCTGCTGCTAAGGAGGCTGAAGCATTAGCAGAGGCTCGTGCCAACAATGAAGCAAGAACAGAGCTAGAGAGTCGTCTGAGAGAAGCTGAGGAACGGGAATCTATGCTAGTCCAGGCACTTGAAGAATTGAGGCAAACATTAAGTAGAAGGGAACAACAGGTTTTTGTTGTATTTTCTGTCATTGTTTTTTACTGAGTTGACTTTCTCAGCATGTTACTTTACAGTTCTAATGTTTTATTCACCTGTTTTCAGGCAGTCTTCAAAGAAGATATGCTTCGCAGAGACATTGAGGATCTTCAAAAACGTTACCAGGTCTGCTTTCCTGCTCGCTGCTTGTCTTTCAATTGTTTTAATTTTTGAGAATGTTACGAATAAGTTTTAGCAACTTCATTTGTGCTTTTGGTTTTTTGTATAATTTGCTTGGATTTCTCTAGGCAAGTGAAAGACGGTGTGAGGAACTGATAACTCAAGTTCCAGAATCGACAAGGCCTCTTTTAAGGCAAATTGAAGCCATGCAGGTTAATACACTTGATTTAAATATACTTTTCCAGCTGTTTTTTGTTTTTCTGCATGGGATCTGTACTAGAATAGAATTCATCTGATAACAGGAAACAAATGCCAGAAGAGCTGAAGCTTGGGCTGCTGTTGAAAGAAATCTCAATTCTCGACTTCAGGTCACTAGAATACTTTCTGAAATTAATTTTAGAAACTTTCCCCCTGGATTTTATTGTATTTCTTCATCTCTTCATATGGATTCTACAGGAAGCAGAGGCAAAAGCTGCAACTGCAGAGGAAAGAGAGCGATCTGTGAATGAACGCTTATCTCAAACCTTGTCTCGAGTTAATGTCCTTGAGGCTCAGGTTGTGTAATATCTCACGTGAAATCACATCTTTAATGGGAATTTTGTGTAAATAGATGACTAATTTTGTACTTTAACAATGAATTACAGATTTCATGTCTTAGAGCAGAACAGACTCAGTTAAGTAGGACCCTTGAAAAGGAGAGACAAAGGGCAGCTGAAAGTAGGCAGGAATATCTTGCAGCAAAGGAGGAAGCTGACACTCAAGAAGGTCGTGTGAGACAGCTTGAGGAAGACATCAGAGACATTAGACAGAAACACAAGCAAGAGTTACAGGAGTCATTGATACATAGGGAGCTTCTTCAGCAGGTAGAACTTATGATTATGGATTTCAAACATAGCATTGTTAAACATGTTACATGAAGCCCTTTGTTTTGTCTCCCTTTAAATTTTCTTTCATTTCTCATTATACGTGGGTAATGGAATGAACCAGCCAAAGGGAGAGATTAAGTTTCATGCTGCATGATTTGTTCTTTAAAGATTTACAAAAGAAAGTTAACCTTCTTTTATTATGGACTTTTCAACATTATATGGGTAATTGAAATTAAATATGTTAGCAAGCTGATGTAGAATATTCGGGCACACTATGGAAAAGAAACAATGCATAAAATATGGAAAAAAAGAAGACATATAGTATTGCTTGTAACTTGTAAGGGTATTGAATTCCATCTGTCTTATCCGTCGTGAATTTTTTTTTTTAAAGTTCCTGAATTATGCTCTTCATTTTTTGGCAGGAGATAGAAAAAGAAAAGGCTGCTCGAACAGAGCTGGAGAGGACTGCACGTGTTCATTCTGCTCCATTATCAGATCAAACTCCGAATACAAAGCTAACTTCTGCTTTTGAGAATGGTGTGATGCTCTTCTTCTATTTACATCACTAAACCGAGTTACCTGTGATATATTCTATAATATTCTTTATGATGTAGGGAACCTGTCTCGGAAAATCTCTAGTGCAAGCTCCCTGGGAAGCTTGGAAGAAAGCCACTTTCTGCAAGCATCGTTGGATTCATCTGATAGTGTTTCTGAGAGGAGAAACCCAGGAGAACTAAGCCCTTACTATGTGAAAAGCATGACACCCAGTTCTTTTGAAGCTGCACTTCGTCAGAAGGAGGGTGAACTTGCTTCATACATGTCACGCTTGGTATGATTCATCACCGTAATTTCTTGTAAATATTTGGCACCATAGCTAAGCTTTTTCTTGTCACCGAGAATGAGAACTTGTCATAATGTTTAAGTAATAGAATATAGGATTTATAGTTTATTTGTAATATAATTCATTGGGGGCACAATGATGACTTTTTTTGTTTTTAATAACAAAACTTCCAGGCATCACTTGAATCTATTCGTGATTCTCTTGCTGACGAGTTGGTCAAACTGACAGCAGAGGTGAGTTTAGCTTCCTGTTTTATACTTATTGGTATCATGCCTTGTCATTAACCATGATATGCATATCGACACTGCAGTGTGAGAAGTTGCGTGTGGAGGCTGCTGTATTACCTGGCTTACGATCAGAGCTAGAAGCACTAAGGAGAAGACACTCTGCTGCTTTGGAATTGATGGGCGAACGTGATGAAGAGGTAATTCTCACTTTGCCTACCTTCGATTTCTTTCTAGGAATAATATGTTAGACATGATTTGGTGTTTGGATTGCTGGCTGGTGGTCTGCCTATATTCCTCATTCTTAATTTTGTTTGCCTAATAAATTTTTGTGTTTGAAATACTCTAGAGCCCAGACAAGAGCATGACACAACTATATTACTCTCTTCCTTCCAGAAAATCTGAGAAATCAATTGAAAGAAAAATACTAGACAAACTAGGCTAAATACAAAAAAAGGGGCAAAAGAGAAAAGGAATTTGTAGGCTTGTAGTTATACTAAGGCCTCAGACTTTGATATATCAAAACTATCATGTTTCCTTTTATTTTTATTTTTATAATAGAAAAGTTGTCTACTTTTCAAATTTTTTATCTAAAAAAATTCAATGTGTTCAGCTGGAGGAACTTCGGGCGGATATTGTAGATTTGAAGGAAATGTACAGAGAACAAGTGAACTTGCTTGTTAACCAGGTATTTCAAGCAGGATCTTTAGCTCCTTAGATGCCCTAGTTATCTTTTTTTTTTTTTTTTTTCTTTTCTGACTATTAACAAAATGCTCAGTCCTTTCTTTTATCCATATTTTTGGATTTATAACCTTAATGCATCTTTCTACAGATCCAGACAATGGGTACATAAATGGGTAACGACTAGTTTGGCCGAAGAAAGGGCTTGGGGGAACGGAAAGAGTAGTGTTCAGCAACTATCTGAGAATTGCGATGGCCATGACCATGACTCATGTCTCTGAGCTGCGTGTGATGTACATTGGTACAGTAATAATATATTGGAGACAAGTGCATTCGGCCTCTGGAGAATGATTCCTTCAGGTTTTCCATCGGAAGATATATATATTTTGTTTGCCCGGGCAACAGATACTGATAGTCACCCTTGTTAAGGGAATGTTGTATAGTCCATCTTTTTTATACGTATTCATACTTGGAAAGATCCAAAGAATATTCTTGCTGAGTTTGTTGACAATATGTTTTTTTCTCCTCGAGTGTGTGTAACGTTCCAAATAAACAAAAGAGAAGCACTAGCTAAAACGAGTTTTTTTTTACTGCTATATTTTTTATTGTTGAAGGAATTTCATGTGGATTTTATTAAATTTTTTGTGTTCATTATTTTTTTTACTTATTGAGAATTATATAACATTTACTTCAAGGTCGAAGGCACTAGTCTCCAAAATATCGCAAGTCGCAAGTTCATAGTAAGAAGATATTTTTTAACAAGTCACTTAATTAAACTAAAGTCTACACTCTTTCATGCACATTTTTAGACATGATCTACACCTAAATTCTAATACAAATATTTGTTTGCACCCTTTCGAAAATTCTGTTAAAAACCTGAATGATATAGATACATCTCATCTATACCAGTTTTGGATATCATGTTAGATCAATAAAAAATACAAAGTAACATGTTATGAATTAAAACACCTACACGCGTATGTATAAAATTGTTAATTGTTATAAACTTATCATATCGAACTAAGAAAATACTCAACAGGATTCTCCAATAATTAAATGGAAAAGTATTGATTATTAACATTTTCTTCATTTACTATTGAGTTCTATAAATTTAGTATGCTTGTAGTTAATTGTAAAAATTAAATCTTATGCGTTTCAGCATATATTCTGTAAGAAGAGTAATTAACAAAAGAGATAAGAATCAAAAGATGAATGATCAATCAAATAGTTGTAAAGATATTTATAAGACTAAAGTTAAAATCAAGTAATTAACTATGCTGAGAAGAGTTAAAAAAATAATAATAGAAAAATTTAAGAATACGTAGTTTTAGTAATGTGGCTTAAAAAGTAATAGATAAGGGAAGGTATAGCACGACACTCTCACGCTTTAGTTATATATTAGAGATGCTTATAACCAAGTATACTTAATACGTGGCTTGAAATTAAGGCACGTATTGATACTGGCATGCAATTCAGTTTAAAGATGGAAAGATTGATGCATCTTAAAATTTGCGGGAATAACGACTTACAACTAGTAAATGCAGATGATTGAAGATACATTCACATTATGGCTTGTAAAGAGGTGATCGATCCGTTGACCCAAAAGGAGAAGGAAGCTTAAGCCATATTTGGTTTCATTGAATACCACCTCATCCACGTGCATGTAATGACTTTAACAACATACTAATATTTTATTGTATTTTGTTACTGATAAATGATATTACTGTGCTGTGTTGAGTTGTTAATGTTATATATTTGACTTGACTATTGGGCGTACATATTAAAAAGTCAATCCATGTACTGTACTTTGGTGTCAACCATTCCGACTGTTATCTCCAAAGTCTGGTTTATTTACATTCCATTGTCTACGACATTCAAAGTCTACTCTTCTAGCTCCACTTTTCCACATCCAAGCATGAAACTTATTTGCTTTTGTCTTTCTTCCTAATGAAATTTAAAACTATAATTGCATTTCTCTTTCTTTCTAAATTTTATATGATATATTCTTTCTTATCAATAGGAAGAAGGATACACGAAACTTCTTTTCATTGACGAATAAAAATTAAATTGTCCAATACCCACTAGCCTTCTAAATTCCAATATATATTATATTCATTGAAAATATTATATCAGCAAAGCAATAGTTTCATTTATAAGTGAAACTGTATATATAAAATAAACTGATTCTGCTATTCTTTTAACTCTGGGCTTCTTTCTTTGTTGGCCTATTTGTTAGAACTTCTTAAGAAGAGAAGGTGAGATGCAGGGTACTGAGGATCAAAAGATCATTCAGCAGAATGAACCCGTTGGTTCAATTACTCCAAGGTATGAAGCTGATACAATTCAACAAATAGGAAATCCATGGAGCACTGGACTATTTGATTGCCATGAGAATCAGACAAATGGTAATGTCTACTCTAAGTTTGATTCCTTTAAATTTGTTATGTGGCTAGATTAACTGTTTAAACTTATTGAATAATGTGATTTTAAATTGCCATCTACAACTGTTACGATTTTTATTTTATTTTAACTTATTTGAGAGGATATATTTATATTAAGAGAAAATAGTTATATCTTTGTTATTTTTATAAGGGTATTTTCACATTTTATAATGGTAAGATATTGTCCATTTTGAATTTTCATCACATGATTTTATTTTTAGTCATTACTCAAAAAACCTTCGATCAATAGAGCATGTGTGTTTTATAAAACCTTTGTTTTTCCTCTTATTGTATCGATGTAAGATTTTATTTGTATCTCAACAACAACTGAAATTCCAGCTACAATATTAAGATTTTTGAGGTTTCTGTGACACAATTACAATTACTTCAGTCGTATTTGTCAGCAATTTCCTTGAATGTCAAAGTTTTTGAAGTGTCTTTCGTACATAATTCTTCAACACAGGCACTGCCACAGGACTAATCTTAGAGAATCTTAATATATTTTGTGTTCATAGTTTTAAGCGTTGCTACACTTTTTTTACAATCAGTTGACTGTTGGAATTGTTCAGATTGGAGAACTATATCTAAAAGCAATCGCTTGCTCTACTCGCAAATCGCAACATTAAAATGCAGGATGGTTGATCTAATTAATTATATATACCTTTTTATTTTGGTTGGCAGCGGTTATGACAGCATTTTTTCCATGTGTAACATTTGGGCAGATAGCAGAAGTATTGGATGGTGGAGAACTTAGTAAGGAACCCTAACCCTTATCTCACCATGTTTTCATTTCTTATAACAATTTTCTACTAGTGAATCTGTATGGTGAAAAGTTATATCAGAATTCTATAACACGCATTCTTTCCCAAATTTCCACCCAACAATTAAGAGTGCATTTGGATTATTAGTGTGCAATTTTTGACTTTGAATATATTGTGAAAATATTTTTGAGTTTGATGTTTGTGTAATCTTGTTAAAAAATAATTTCACGAATACGAGTTTTGTTTAAATAATATTGGGTAAGATTGCTGTTAAATGTCAATGATCATAATAAAGATTATTATAAATAATTGAGTTCATTTCTCCTGTTTATAGTGTTCCTGTTAGATTTATGAGATTTTCCTTTATTTAAATTTTGAATACAATCTTATGGTTTTTCAACGATTTAAGTTGCCATGGCTTAAGAGAGCAATTAAGGTTTCTACAATGATATCCCTCTCCATACCCCAATACAACATTTCAGTATATGCCCTTAACCGGATTCAAGCCATTAGCCTTTAAGTGATGCATATTTACACTTTTGCATCTTAATATTTTTGCTTTTGTTTTGTTTCTTTTTTTTAATTTTTTTATTTTGAATGGCTGACCACATAATTTCTTCTTCCCAAAATTCCCCATTCCTCAACTCCCCCAAACTCGTTTAATGTCATCAATTTGCTCTCTTAACCACAACAGATGTTATGGTTAATTTTTCACGGGTTCGGGATAAGTGGAAGGTGTGGTGTTTAGGCTTAGGAAGCTATGGGTCAAGTGAAAAGTGGAGATGACTTTTTGGCTTAAATGGTTAACAAAATAAGGAAATATGAATTCCTTGATCATATAAGTGCACAACATAAGAAAACTACCAGGGAAACTCAAGCAAAGTCTATCATGCAACTTAAACATAGTTCACTCATCAGTATTTAGGCTCAAACCTCACCTGACTATGCATCCACAAATTATCAAACTCAGCTCAGTTCTATGATCAACATTGAAACCTGTATGTAACTAGTCATGAACTAAAGATCTAACGTGACTTGAAAATGTCTAAGGTACACGCACCACAAACATCAAGCAAACCACAATCCAGAATCAACCACAAGCAAAGCAAGTATCAACAAGATTAAAAACTGTGCTAAAGCAGAATATTCACAAAAGGAAACCAACAGAGTAATCACCAAAAAGACACTAAATATAACAGAGTTTTAAACATAAACAACTACATTAAAGCTAAATCACGAAAAATAAAAGACATAAAAATAAAATGTGATAAACATAAAAGGTAAACTAAGATAAACTCCATCTGCATTTGTCTATGTAGTCTGGTCATCATCATCTCCAGGGGCTGCTCCACCATCATCAGCAGCTCCACTACTTCCCCAAACTTAGGGGCCTGGTCCCCAGGCCAACCAGTATATGTATGAAAGTCCTAGTAGCCGGGAGTGGTCACGGAGTGTAATTATGAAAAAAATATGGTGAGCACAAAAAATACACACAATGATGACCAAGCAAATATAGCAAAATGGAGAATATCCTTAGACCAAAATTAAGCATAACATGGATGCACACGGAAATGAACTGTGACAATGCAACATAAAGCACACAAACAGAACATGAAGAAACATGATTGAAAGCAGATAAATATTGGTTGTCAGGGATGGTGTGCGCCGGGTGCAAAACAGATGCGCCGGGCTTAGTATCAGTAAACGTCCAAGAGGTTCCAAATCTGATATCGCGCCAGGCGTGACTTAAGCGCGCCCGACGTGGTGGTTCCAGAGACCAAAAATTGATCACTAGGCTGGGCGCAAAAGAGATACACCCGGCGTGTAGCCACTTACATGGTCAATTTGCCTAAGTTTTCTTTAAGATAAAGCCTTATCTCCACCTCAGAAACAGAGTTACCTCATTCCTCACACTCCAAACGAGATGTACCCTATACCATGGCTTAAGAGAGCAATTAAGGTTTCTACAATGATATCCCTCTCCATACCCCAATACAACATTTCAGTATATGCCCTTAACCGGATTCAAGCCATTAGCCTTTAAGTGATGCATATTTACACTTTTCTTTTTTGAATTTCAATGTTAATTTGATGATAGTTTTTCATCTTCAATTTTAATTTTAATTTGTCTGCAAGATCCAATTTTTCTACATTTTTCTCAAAAGGTTTATGAACGGTAAAATTATGTTACTTTTCATAAAACATCATTTTGAGATATTATCTGCTTTGAGTCTTGATTCTCACAAAATCTCTCAATCATTAAAATATATATGTATTTTATAAATTATTTTTTATTTTATTTTATTGATATGAAACCTTATTTATATTCCAACACGCTTTTGGTGCTGACCTCAACATATTCTAATTGTTAATTCTAATAATTTCAGGTTGTCATTTGGGGAGCTTCATTTACCTATTAATGATGCCTGCTTTGTGCTCTCAATGGATTATGGGGTCCAAGTACCGAACAAAGTTGAGAAAGAGATACAATTTGGTGGAAGCTCCATACACGGATATAGTGTCTCACGTCTTTTGTCCATGTTGTTCCCTCTGTCAGGAGTTCAGAGAGCTAAAATTTAGAGGACTTGACCCTGCTCTTGGTAATTGAGTTACTTCAACTAATGCTCATTTTTACACTTCATTTTCTTATGCTATAGCAACATATTCGGGTGCATAATTTATTCGAATTTGTGTGCAGGATGGAATGGCATTCTTGCAAAACAGCATGCAAAACAGCAAAGTGATCAAACATTGAAGAATCCTCCTTCAAACCAAGTCATGTCTAAGTGAACACATTTCTTTCATCGGGGAGGGGATCTGTCAAAATTAAATTGAATTGTATTTCTTTTGATTTGTTTGGTGTGATGAGGTTATTTTTATTAGATTATTATTGTTTGCTTTGGGTCTAAGTCCTCGCAATTTTGTTTTTGGTCATCACTCAAAGGATTTCTCAATCATTGTATTATATAAGTTGTTATTTCTTGTTTTATTTTATCGATGTGGGACTTGTTTGTATCCCAGCATGATGCTTGTTTACTTTTAATGTCCGATGCTTGTAAGTTGTAACTGAATTATTATAAATAAAAAAATAAAGCCAAAAGTTGACAATTTATATATATATATATA